CTTGTTTGCAAAGGTTATTGGCCTCGGGGACGCGAATATTGCAAAATTTAGAAGGGGTCGTTGCCTCGGGGGCGCAACTGTGGCGTAATTTACGGTTGGGCGTGGCCCCAGAGGTGCGAAGTAGTGTAATTTACTTGAGATCGTGGCCTCGGGGGGGCGAATGTGTATATTTTAAATGGGATCGTGGTTTCGGGGGCGCGAAGGTGGTGCGATTTGTGGGGGGTCGTTGCCTCGGGGACGCGAGCATGGCGTAATTGCGATGGATCATCGTGGCGTCGGGAGCGCGATTGGTATAATTTATTGGGGATCGTGGCCCCAGAAGCGCGAATGTAGTATATTTTGCGTGAGATCGTGGCCTCGGGGTATTTTGCAAAAATGATGGTGGTTTCGGGGGCGCGAGCGTGGCACAATTTACAAGGGATCGTTGCCTCGGGGGCGCGAGTAAAATGTGAACTGCGAGGGATCATTGCGTCGGGGGCGCGATTATCGCGAATTTTTACGTGTCCCACGCTCCCCCAGGAACTCAGGCAACGCGATTCGGGGGTGGTAGCTGGGCGCTTTTCAGCTCCCCCCCTCTCGCGGAGTTCGACCAATGAAAGTAGGAAGCAGAAGCGCGACTGTAACGTTGGAGACTGAAGCTTGGAACTGGTGCAGGTACTGAAACCTGATCATCACGGCCTGATGGCTCCGCAAGGGGGCTGGCGGATTCTTTCAAGGGCAAGAATTACTTGGCAGATATGTTTCATCTGTGGTTGTGCGTTTTGTCATTGTATGTGTTTGGGGCTTCTCTAGCTTTGTTTTGCTTGTTTCTAGTGCTTGTCGGAAGGCTCAGTCTTGCTATTGGTATCGGTATCGGGATCCCTATGTTCCCCCCGCCGCGGGGCTGGGGGCGCGACGCTACCCGAGGGTGGCTGCGCCGACCAAAGGCGGCAGCGTTACCCCATGGGCCTCAGGTGCATACGTTTGCCTGCAGTTGCCCCGTCCTCCTCTTTGTCTTTTCCGGTTGTTGTGTTGGCGCGCGACTCTCGACGCAACATTCACCGTGCGCCTTGCCCAGTGCTAGGGCTGAAGCTTTTTCGTGAGGCAGTGCGGCGTTTTTTTGGGGGGTGTTCAGGCCCCGTAGAGGGCTCGCCCGCCTCCTCGCAGTGTACGTGGGCAGCTTGGTGCCAATGGCCTGGAACAAAAACCCGCGCCGATTAGGGTGCCCTGGTTTCGGCTAGGTGCGTGGGGGTCCATCTGGGCCCCCCGCCCGTTTTTAACAGGCCAGTCGCCGATTGGGTGCCCTTTATGCGCTGGCTGCGTGGGGGTCATCCTGGCCTCCCTGTGCTTTTCCACCAGTCCTGGCGCCGATCGGGTGCCCTCCTCCGCCGCTCCTCGCGGCGGCTCCTCCTCCCCGCCTTTCTTCCGCCCACGGCCGCCTCTCGACGCCCCCCCCCCCCCCATGGCCGCCAGGGCCGCCTGCCGCGCAGGCTCCTCGCTGTGCTCTTCGATAAGGCGTGGTCCCTTGGTCGAGTCCGATTGCGCCCGCTGCCTGTTCTGCCTGGGCGTCGGTCCAGCTTGGTAGCGTCCTTCTATCAAAGGCCCCCGCGCAGGTGGCTTCGGTCGCTGGTCCATCGGCTCTGCTGCGGTCCCGTTGATTCTCTTCGGCAGCACCTGGTCCTTGGGTTGCGCCCAGCATGCATCCCAGCATGCATCCCGCCTGGATACCCGTCCGGCCCGGCAGTTCTACTGGTGGGTCCAGCTTAGGTGTTTCCCCATTCATTAGCAGTTGGACGCCCTGGGGCCTTGCTCCGTTGGCACTTTGCCTTCGGCGAGCCGTCGGCGGCTTGCCCCGCGGTCAGCCTGGCCGCCCCCCGTGTCGGCGGCAGGCGCTTCCTGCTCAGCGCGCCCGGGCTCCGCTGTGCAGAGGCTTCTTGCTGCCCGAGGGCGCCTGCGCGCGCCCGTGCTTCGGCCTCTCCCCCCATCCCCGGGCATGGTGGCGCAGTTCGCTTCCGCGGCATCCCCGTGCCAGCCCCTGCCGCATCGCAGACGTCCCCTGCCTCGCCGCTGACGCCTACAGAAAAGCGCGCGCCCGTCCTGCCGTCGATCCTCGACGGCTGGGCCCCTTCCCTCCCTCCGCCCTGGCAGCCGCCCTCTGCTCTTCCGCCCGCCCTGTTGCGCCCCGCGCCCGTCGGTGCGCGCCGGCTCTGCCCTGGCGCGTCTGCGACCGCTGGCGCTGCCGATCTTCAACGTTTTCCAGTGCATTGGCGTGCCAGTGTTAAGTCGGGCATGTCCCTCTACAGGAGGAGTATTCAGAAGCAGTGAATACATGGTATGGAGACGATCTTCGATTATGTTTTCACTACCTCTGAGCAGTTTCTGATAATTTTTGTTTTTTCTTTCAAAATGCGCCTGTAGGAGGACGTGCCCGACCTCATGCCAGTGGAGCCTCCCGCTGTGATCTGGCGTCAACTGTTCTCATCCGCCCGTGCCGCTCTTTGCTCCGTCCGTCGTGTGGGATGCTCCTCCCAACCTGTGACAGGTGTGCAAGTGCTGCCAGCAAGGTCCGGTGGATGTGCGCACGCGTGGGCTCTTCCTCTTCTCGCGGCTGCGTGGGTCAGTTTCGCGGGTGACTCCAGCGACGTCTTTGGTCGTTTTCGCATGCTCGAGCCATGTGCCCTTCTGTCTTGCCCTTTGCGTTCCGCTCCCTCTTCCCTTGTCCATGACAGCCGCTTCAGTGTTCAACCTATTGGAATTGAATGACCAGCGCATTTCGGCCATTCATCCTTGACGTGGTAGTTGCTTCTTGGACTTGTTCGCAAAAAGGAAGAGTTGTGTGACGCGATTCGAGGAGGGGAGAGGGCAGTGTAAAAGAAGGAAGTTTCGGGACGTTTGGATTTTGTCAGACTGGGTACTTCTCCGCTTCTAATGCCCCCCGCCGACTTGGCCAGCCCGCCACCCCACCTCTCACAGAGCTCCAGAGACAGCCGCTGCCACGAGTGGGGTTTTGGGGGAGCTGGCCGCCAAGAGAGACAAGCAGCCTGGTCAAAAGGTAGCTCCGCCTAATGGTCCCTGAAAAAGGGCCATCAGTTCGACGTGCCGTGACGACAATCTGCCAGCAGCGCAGCAGAAAGAATGGTCAAACCAGCACGCTCTGCGGGGCGAGCGTTCTTTATTCAACTTCTTCCGATCGGCGCGGGCCCTCCCCCCCCCCTCCCCCCCCCCCGAGGAGTAGATCTTGGCTTTTTTTGGCGCCTGTTTCGAGCTGGTGGAGCCTCTCCCCCAGAGGACGCACGGTCCCAAGCGGTCGTACTGAGCAGAGGTCCGCAGCCAGACCCCCTCCCCTTCCCCCCTCCCTTCCGCCCAGTGCCGAAACGACGAATAAAAAAACGCCCACCCACTGGCCACGAAGCCAGTGTGCCCCCACTCTCGCGCACGACTGCCGTGGGACGCTCTGGGTGCCCCCCCCCCCCAGCCGCACATGCTCCTCAAAAGCCAGATCGTGCCAACTCTTGGCTCCCGCTGCCCCTGGGCCTCTGCACCAGACTCTCCGCGGGCGCTCCGCTCCGTGGCCGGCGCTCCCGCGCGCGCTCCTGCGCACGCGCAGGGCTCTCGTCCAAGCGGCCACGGCCGAGCACTCGTGGCCCATTCCTGGCAGCATGCCTGAGTGGGCTAGGCTTAAGTCGGGCCTGTCCCTCTGCGGGGAGAATATTCAAAAATTAGTAACAAAATGGTCAGGGGAGTTTTTTTTGTTTGTTTTTTTTGAGTACTTTCTCTGCATTTTAATTTTTCTGTCCCTCTGCGGGGAGAATATTCAAAAATTAGTCACAACAAAATAGTCAGTTTTTTTGTGTGCATTTTTGGAGTACTTTCTCTGTACTTTAACTTTTCTTCCAAAATCCGCCTGTGGGGGGGCAGGCCCGACCGAAGACTAGGCAGCCATTAGCACCGCGTGCCGGGTCGCCTGGGCCTTCCCAGGCTGCCCTCGGGAGATCGGGCCAAGAGGGAGGGAACCAGAGCCCTGACCGCCCTCGCAGGCAGGGGATGTGGGGCGGAGTTGAACACTCCCGTAGATGGACAAAAAAGTGGAACCCTTGACACCACGCCCCCCCCTCCCCCCAATGTCAAAGTTGGCCTCAAGCATTTGGCAGCACAGGCGCGAGAGGACAAAAAAAGTGGGAAACCCAGGGCCTCCGAGAGGCCGAACCCAACTTTGAAATTGGGGGGAGGGGGGGGGGGGGCGAATGCGGGGCCGAAGACGAAGGGGTTCCATTTTTTTGTCCCCTTACGTTCCCCTCCCCCCTCATCCACATCCGAAGGCCAGGAAGGAGACCTCCCCGTGACGCTCTCCGCCCCCGCCCGCTGCGCAGAACGGCTCCTCCCGTGATCTCCTTATATTTTTCTACCCTCTCAGTCCGCTTGGTTTGCTTTGGACTGTAAGGCTGCGCCGCCAACGCATTCAGGACCACGCCATGGACTGTCGCATGTATGAGTTCTTGGTCGGCTTCGGTAGTCGATACCATGCAGATCATTGTCGTTCCTGAGAAGCTTGATTATTGCATTGCTTTCGACGATCGTGTGGTTATGTTCACCACCCACCAAACCACCCCAACCCAACCCGAAGGCCTCAATTTGCCCTCCATTTCCAGTGGGGGGGGGTCGAGGAACATTGAAAAAACACATGAAACCCGTACCCCCCCAACCCGAACTTTGGGTCAAATTCGGGTGTTCGGGTTGGGTTGGGGTGGTTTGGTAGGTAGTCATATGTCTCATGCATCCGCATCCTGCTATATCCGACTGTGTCCAAGTGTTAACGAGTGCGTTTGCGCACCTGCTTCGGGAATGCTGGGCCCCTGTCCTCTGGCTTCACACGCCCGCGTGCCAGCGTCTCGTTCCGTGTCGCCTGGTGCCACCTCTTGCCGGAGGTCTCGGGTCTCGAGGCGTATTGTTGTTGGGCTGCATAGCTTCTACTGGCTTGTTTTTCTAGCGCTGTGACCGAGGATACGCCGCGGAGACCATAGATGCAGGGCCAGCTGCCTGGACAGCAGGCTCCTGGGCAGCAGATGCAGCCTGGGATGCCAGGTCGGGGCCAGGGCAAATGAAGTGCAGGGATAGATTTGGGTGACGTCCCGTGATGTTTGATTGCTGTTTTATCCCCGCATCCTATGCGTGGCCTTTGTTTTCTCAAGCCCCCCCCGCACAGGAACACTGCGCAGGAACACCTCACGTTGCCCATCCTCTTCCTCATCATCACTACTGCAACCACCATCCTCAACATCTGGTGCCCCCAAGCATTGACCAGTTGTTACTCATTGGTCCATTGTCTTCCAACATGTAAGTGGAGCTGTCGTCACTTTTTGGCTCCTGGGATTCCCAAGTGTAGAACTGTCGTCACCTGTTGGCTCCCCTTCAGGCCTGCCATAATATTGAGTGAACGCCTGTAAGGTCGATATCGGTTTCACTTCTAGTGCCAACGCCATATGGGGCTTAGTATCCCACGAACTCCTGTGCCACTTTACTTTGAATATGTACCAAAGTGACCAACATGAATGACTTCTTTGGACTCCACATTGGACCCCATTAGACTCCATTGGTGTCCATTGCTTTCGATTGGACTCCATTGGACTCCATTGGACTGCATTGGTCCGCTGGAGCCCTCTGGATCCCATGCAACTCCGCTGGGCCCCGTTGGACTCCATCGGTTTGGATTCAATTGGACTCCATTCGAATACCCGTACGAGTCCATTGGCCTCCATTGGGGTCAATATGATTCCATTGCTCCCCCAAGGAGGCTCCCAATATCCACCCAAGGAGCCAGCGTCACTGTTCATTCGCAGGGTTTTGTATGATTAGCGTATATGCGAGCCTTTCCGGTCGTAAGAGCGTCCGAGACGGGCCGAGATGCTCCCCAAAGTGCCCGAATGCGGCCCAAAAGGTGCCGAAGATGACGCCAACGGGGCTCCGGAACGACTCAAGAGGGTCACAGGAGACTCCAAGGGAGCCCCAAGAACCTTAAGGGGGCCCCCGAATAGGCTCCCGATAACTTAAGAGGGCACCAAGACAGCTTAAGAGAGCCTCGCGAGGATCACAAGACGCCAGATGGCTCCAACACACGCGAAACCGATTCTCAAGACCCTCCAAGACGAAAGTCGACAGTAAGAAGCATCCACAGAGACTACAGCGATCCCAAGAGCGTATCAGTGAGGCACCTCAGCGGCCCGATGAAAGCCCCAAAGCAGCCCCAAGACACCGACGCATCGGGGACACGCTCGGATTACCCGAGCTTTTTCCCCCTCCTCCTCCTGATCATCTGTCTCCTCACCCTCCTTTATGCTAGCAGAGCGACGCGGACAGCACGAATCGGGCAGGGTCCCCCTCCTCCCGCTCACTCCAAATCTTTCGAGATCTGTGAGATCCGCATGCTGGTCTCGTTTGGGGCCCCTCTGCGACTCCCGCTCCGCGAGCCGAATGGCCGACCGCGCCTGGCGCACCCGGAGCACGCGGTGCACGTGGCGCACATGTCCCACGTGGCGCCGGCCACGCGCGCCCGGCACGCGGGGGCATCGTGGATCATCTCGGACACCTGGCGCGCGTGGCGCGCCTTGCGAGCCTGTTGTGCCTGGCGTGTGCACCTCACTGGTTCCCCAACAGGCCGCCCGCCGGACGGCGGCCGCTGCCTATTCGAAACGTCGGGTGCTGCTTCTGTGGTGGGAGGGTGTGTGGGGGCGCGGGAGGACGGTTGCGGCGTTCCTGTTGGGATACGGCGGACGCGGACGAGAAAGGACGAGTGGGTGATGATGATGATGATGATGATGATGATGATGATGATGATGATGATGATGATGATGATGATGATGCTGCTGATGCTGATGCTGATGCTGATGATGATGATGATGATGATGATGATGATGATGACGATGACGATGACGATGACGATGACGATGACGATGATGATGCTGCTGCTGATGATGGTGATGTTGATGATGCTGCTGATGATGATGATGAGGAGGAGGGCCAGGACGAGGACGATGACGATGACGATGACGATGATGATGCTGATGATGATTTTGACGACGATGATGATAATGCTGATGCAGATGCTGCTGATGATGCTGCTGCTGATGCTGATGCTGATTCTACTGCTGCTGATGATGGTGCTGGAAATGATTATGCTGACGATGGTGGTGATGATGATGCTGTTGATGGTGACGGTGGTGATGCTGCTGATGATGATGCTGATGATGAGGATCCTGCTGATGGTGATGATGGTGATGGTGACGGTGATGATAATGCCGATGAGGATGCTGATGCTGATGATCATGCTGATGTTGATGATGCTGCCGAGGTTGGGAATGATGATGCTGATGCTGCTGCTCCTCCTGCTGCTGATGATGATGATGATGATAATGGTGATGGTGATGGTGATGGTGGTGTTGATAGTGATGGTGGTGATGATGATGCTGCCGCGGCGGCTGCTGCTGCTGATGATGATGACGATGCTGAGAAGAAGGAAGATCAGGAGGAGGAGGACGACCAGTATCCTTGCTGCCTTCCTCGAGGTCAGATGGGCTGGGGCGGCATGCAGCCTGGAATGCAGGGCGTGCAAGGCACACAGCCAGGCGTGCAGCAAGGCGCCCTCCTCCTCCGCTGTCTCCTCCTCGTCCTCCTCTGCCGTCTCTTCCTCGTCCTCGTCCTCCAGAGGAGGTGGAGGTAGGAAACGGAAAGGGAGCAGGATATGCCCCTCAAGGTTTAGTGGGCTTCTTGGAGGTGCGGTAAGGTCTCCAGCGGGTTCCTTCTTCTCCGCCTTCTCCTCCTCTTGCTCCGCTGCGCACTCCTTGCCGTCCTTCTGCTCCGCCTCCTCCTTCTCTTTTTCCCCACATCCAAAGTGGGGTTCTTGTTTTCTCTGGACACCCCGCGCAGGAACAAGAACCCACCATCATCATCATCACTCATTCCTCACTCACTCGCTCACTCACTCACTCACTCATCATCCCTCACGCACTTACTCAGTCACTCACTGACTCATCAGCACTCACATATGATGATGATGATGATGATGATGATGATGATGATGATGATGATGATGATGATGATGATGAGCGTGCGCGTGAGAGAGTGTGATGATCATCATCACCACCACCATCATCACACGGCTCACTCACACATCATCATCAACATCATCAACACACTCATTCGACCACTCATCATCATCATCATCATCATCATCATCATCATCATCATCATCATCATCATCGTCATCATCATCGTCATCACCATCATCACCATAATCATCATCACTCACTCGTCATCATGATCACTCACTCATCGCATCGTCATCGGTCTCCTGTGACTGTCGTCACTTTGGGGGCGTCTGAGGGTTGAATATGGGGGAAGCATGAGGCGGGAGCTTCGTCTGTGAGTGAATTGCGAGGAAGTCTCAGGCGGGAGCCCCCTCCCTATGGGGCCCGCAGATCATATTAGTAATCCGAGCGGGCCATCGGAATCCTGTAACTGTCGTCACTTTTGGGCTCCTCAGGCTTGAATTTGGAGGAAGTATCAGGCGGGAGCCTCGTCTGTGAGTGAATTGTGAGGAAGTCTCAGGCGGGAGGGAGCCCCCTCCCTATGGGGCCCGCAGATCATGTTAGTAATCCGAGCGGGTCATCGGAATCTTGTAACTGTCGTCACTTTTGGGCTCCTCAGGCTTGAATTTGGAGGAAGTATCAGGCGGGAGCTTCGTCTGTGAGTAACTTGCGAGGAAGTCTCAGGCGGGAGCCCCCTCCCTATGGGGCCCGCAGATCATGTTAGTAATCCGAGCGGGCCATCCCGATCCTGTAACTGTCGTCACTTTTGGGCTCCTCAGGCCTGAATTTGGAGGAAGTATCAGGCGGGAGCCTTGTCTGTGAGTGAATTGTGAGGAAGTCTCAGGCGGGAGCCCCCTCCCTATGGGGCCCGCAGATCATGTTAGTAATCCGAGCGGGTCATCGGAATCCTGTAACTGTCGTCACTTTTGGGTTCCTCAGGGGGGAATTCTGAGGAAGTATCATTCGAGAGCCTCGTCTGTGAGTGAATTGTGAGGAAGTCTCAGGCGGGAGCCCCCGTCCTTATGGGGCACGCGCTGGATGTTGGTAATCCGAGCGGGCCATCCCGATCCTGTAACTGTCGTCACTTTTGGGCTCCTGAAGCCTGGACATGGGGGCAGTATCAAGCGGGAGCCTCGTCTGCGAGTGACTTTCGAGGACGTGTCAGGCAGGAGCTCTCTTTTTCAGGGGCCCGCACCTCACGTTAGAATCCGAGGCGGGTCATCGGAATTCGTATGCCTGTCGTCACTTTTGGGCCCCTGCGGCCTGAATATGGCTGTCATGGGCCTGCTTGCTCCAAAGGGCGACTGAGGAGCTGACGACGACGACGAGACAGCGGCCGGGCGCAGGGGTAACCTCTTGTGTCCGGGCCGGGGGTGGTAACCCATCCTCGGCTGAATCGGGGGCAGGGGTACCCCCTTGTCTCCGGGTCGCCGGTGGTAACCCATCGGCGGCCGAATCGGACGCAGGGGTAGCCCCTTGCGTCCGGGCTGGGGGTGGTAACCCATCCTCGGCCGAATCGGGGGCAGGGATGTTCCGACAGCCTGGCCCGCGGGGTTGTCCGGACAGCCTGGCCCGACAGCCTGGCCCGCGGGGTTGTCCTAACGGCTGCGTGACGCGGCCATCAGAGAACGCGCCAGTGCTGGCCGAGGCGGCGACGGCGCCGAGGAACATCGACTTGCTTGCCCCGACCAGGGGGAGGGGGAGGTGCACGTAGAGAAGCGGCAGGAGGAAGATGAGGAGGGGGAGGGTATGGGGGAGGGCGATGATAAGGAGGAGGTGGAGAAGGAGGAGGGGGAGGTAGAAGGAGGGGAAGGGAGAAATAGAAGAAGGAGGGAAAAGAGGGCAGAGGAGAGGGCGAGAGGAGGGTGTTTGCCATGGCCAGGAGGAAAGGGAGAAGGGCACGCAAACCTGATTATCATGTGGGGTCCTTCCGTCGGAGTAATTTCGCCATGTCCTCTTCCTTGGCTTGTGGTTCCGCAGCCGCCTCCGAGGTGTCGGCTCCTTTTTCCCCACATCCTGAGTGGGGTTCTTGTTTTCCCAGAACATCCTCTCCTTCTCCTTCCCGCCTCCCGCCTCCACTATCAATACCATGCCTACCATTCCAGCCTCCCATATCATCCCATGCCTACGATTCCATTCCATACCATACCATACCTACCATACCATACCATACCATACCATACCATACCATGCCATGCCATGCCATGCCATGCCATGCCATGCCATACCATACCATACCATACCATACCATACCAGACCAGACCAGACCATACCATACCATACCATACCAACCACACAATACTGAACAATACCATACCATACCATACCTACCATGCCATACCGCACCATACCATACCATACATACCACACAATACGGAACAATACCATACCATACCACCTCTCCAGGGAGGCCCCGCCTGAGCGAGGAGGGTATCGGAAACCCATACTATTTACAAGGTTTCGTGCCCCTCCCACCCCTCCAGGGAGGCCCCGCCTGAGCGAGGAGGGTATCGGAAACCTATACTATTCACATAGTTTCGTGCCCCTCCCACCTCTCCAGGGAGGCTCCGCCTGAGCGAGGAGGGTATCGGAAACCCATACTATTTACATGGTTTCGTGCCCCTCCCTCCCCTCCAGGGAGGCCCCGCCTGAGCGAGGAGGGTATCGGAAACCCATACTATTTACATGGTTTCGTGCCCCTCCCACCCCTCCAGGGAGGCCCCGCCTGAGCGAGGAGGGTATCGGATACCAATACTATTTACAAGGTTTCGTGCCCCTCCCTCCCCTCCAGGGAGGCCCCGCCTGAGCGAGAAGGGTATCGGACCCCCCCTACTATTTACATGGTATCGGAACCCATACTATTTACTATTTACAAGGCTTCGTTTCCTGAGCACCTGTCCTCCCTCCTCCTTTCTTTCGTCTGCCCTTTCGTGCGTACTTACTCGTTCGATGAGCTTCTCCTTCGTGTTGATGTTGTCGTACCCCATGGGTCCCACGAAACCGTTAATATCTTTATGTGGGAAACTCCGTTAGCATAATTTTCAGGCGAACACGCCGCGCACCTCGTCCCCGTCTTCCGCCGCGTCCTCGTTCGCTGCACCCATCATCCGGTCCTCCTCCCTACGTTGCTTTCTCACCGAACGAGACAAGTCAGGTGTTGGTGCAAGCTCCCCCATGATGACTCGAGCTCTTGGGCGCCCTGCTAGAGTGGCCACAGAGCCGCCCAAGCGGTGGAGGCGGGTGGCTCACAGCATAACTGCTGGTACTTTGGCGGGGTCCTCCCGTTGTCGTTTTCGAGGGCAGGGGGCTCCTTGTGCAATGAATGGTGGTCTTCCGCTTTCTCGTCCCATCTATGGCTGCCCAAAAGTTTCCAGAGAGCCCTGAGACGTCCTGGACGGATCCAAGATATTCCGAATAACATCCCAACAATCGGCTCCACGACGTCCCATGATGCGTAGACGATTCTTGATGGGCTTAACGGGAGGAGAAGGGGAGGGGAGGATAATGAGGAGGATGCGGGAGATGAGGACGATGAGGACGAGGAGGAGGAGCAGGAGGAGGAGCAGGAGGAGGAGGAGGAGGAGGAGGAGGAGGAGTCCGTAGCCATTCTGGCTCAAGGTCCCGCTGTGTCTATGCACAGGAGGTGGACACCGCTATTCCGCGGCAGGGCCAGGGTGTCTTCTGCGTCCCATCTTCCCCTCCGCTTCCGCCTGCTCCTCACGGGCGTCGGGCGGCCCTCTTCCGCGTTGCCCTCCTGGCGCATTCTCGTAAGGCTTCCGTTCGCATCTGACTTCCCTCTATTGCTCGAGCGACCGTGTGCGGAGCTCCTCTTCTTCGGCTTCGACCTCCCCGTATTCATGTTGCTTCGCGTTCTCTCGTCTCCCGCGTTGCGGCATGCGGGTTCTCCGTGTCATATCGATATCGAATCGAACTCGCCTCTCAGCCGCGCTCCACCTCCTGATTGAGGGACTGTGGGCCCAAGCCCTCCGGTGCCTGAACATGCCCGGACGGGTTCTCGCTCGCCGAAGTGCAAGTCTGCTCGACCCGATGAACAATCCCAATGTCGCTCGACGCCTTTTTCTCAGGCCGATTCCAATGGTGGCAGCTTCTCTGGTAGCGCTGGACTCGCCTGGTTCCGCGGGCCCAGTGGGTGGTGCTCCTCCGTCCCCAGGTGACCGCCAGAACATCGATGCGACCCTGGCCGCCTTCAAGCGTGACATCCAGGGCTCAATGGACCGCCAGTCCAGAGAAGTGCGATGGTCAACTGGATCAATGAGCACACCAGTGGCCTTGTCAAGCGGGTAGTCAGCCAGCAGGATACCTTCAATGCGCACATCCTTGGCGAGGTCACCACCCTACGTGCCCAGCAGCATGCACTGGAAAGCTCGCAAGATCAGATGCGCAATCAGTTGGATGACATGCGAAAAGGAATTATTCATTCAGGAGCGGGCCATCCCGATCAAGGATTATGAGGAGTTGAAAAGTTAGATCGCCCGCCAGATCCGACGACACTCATGGTCAACCTCTCGGAGCTCTGGGCGCTGGCGGAC